GTACAGAAAGAGTTGAGCGCGCACGGGCAGAAATGTTGAAAGCGCAAGCAACACATTGCAAGCGAGCGCAAGTGCAAAAACTGAGCGACAGGGGCTATTGTGTGTGTGTGGATAATAGCAAACACTGAAATACATTTTTTGCACGCAGCAATGAATTTTGTTCACTCAAAATAAATTTCTCCTCAAAATGCAACACTTGCACCTGCAATTTTTTTTTTTTACGCGCGCTCAATTTTTTTTACGTGCGCTCAGAATAGTGGCACAAAAATAACGCCTTAAAGATTGAGAATAATAATAATAATAATATGAAGAAGAATAAATCTGACGAATAGTAATAAGTCTGCCTCTTGGCATAGGCACACTTAATTACTAAATATACTTGAACATACTAAAATATATATTCAAATGTTTGTTATAATTTGAATATATAGTTGAAATAAATGGGCACTTAATAGAAGGGACTAACAGGAAACACTGTACACTAATCTAAACTATTCAAATGTTACCCTGTGATAATATGAAATAAAACACCAATCAGATAAAATTTTGTAATTGTAGATAGAGCTATTTTTTTCTATTTGCAGTAAATAATACAGTAAAACACAATAGATGTTTTAAACCTTGTCTTTGATCTGTTTAAGAGAAAAATATTTTTTCCTACTTACTTCCACTTAAAAATTGCTACCTTTGAATTATCCAGGCTCTCCATGACAGTGTCTCATCACTGTGCGTATGTACAGTGATGAGACACAGTTTGTATGTGAACACCCGCCCAAGTCTGCCTCTTGTGGGTTCACCAGGTCTACTTTACTCTTCCTCAGCCAATCAGCAGCACTTGTGCGAAGAACTGACATTTGTAAGACTCAGATACTCGTGTTTGTTCCTTACTTCTTCTTCTACATCTTCTGAGAGAAACTACTGAAGTCGTACCTATTGATGAAGCTGCCGCCTGGATTTCCAGCATCTCCACTTTCAGTTCCTTTGTTTGCTCCCCCTCTGATCTACAACAACACAAGAAAAGCAAACTTTAAATGTGCATACATTAAATGGCATCACCTTGTATGTGAGGAGACTGATTCTGGATTTAACAGGGACCCAGTGAAGAGTATCCTGTCCTACCATCACTTTGAGACAGGATTTTAGAGATATTATGGAAGAAAGCAGTTGTGCATATTTCTTTATTATGTGCACTGAAGGACATATGCTGATCAAAAACTACTTCAAGATTCCTCACAGTGTTACTGAAGGCAGAGAAAATGCCATCCAGAGAAAGTATCTGGTTCGATATAACGTTTCTAAGATTTTTAATAACCAGTTTAATCTGAATTTAGAAGCAGGCAATTTGAGTTCATCCGGGTCTTTATGACTTTAAGACATTACTGGAGTTTAAATAATTCTTGTGTGACAACAGCAATCTAACATTAGTACAGAGCAAAGTGAGTTGGATAGTTATGCCATAGAACCTGAACAGGAGCTTTTAAAAGGTTTTTTAAAAAGCATAATTTTTTAAAAAAATCTCAGGTTTCTGCTATAGATGCTTGTCCTCGAAAACAGCTGAGTGCCTGTTTGTTTTCTGAAACTGGCCAGACGTTTGGATTCCTGTTGACGTTTGTCTGACGTTTGGATTCTGTAGCTGTGTACTTCCCTCTGCCTTCATTGATTAGTAAGCTAATTAGGAATCTGTCATAACTATTGTGAAGCAAATGAAGTTAAAAGTGACGTACCTAACAGACTTCTTAACATTTCTTTGTTTGTTTTTTCTTAAGTGCATCTTTTGTTTTTCTACTTTTTCCTCAGTACCCCTGTACTCTTTGACTGTCGTTTCTGCCACTGTATGTCTTTGATCAACTCAGAATAAAAACTGACTTAAGTGCTTGAAAGCTCGTCTCAAGGTAAAGCAAATATGTTGTTGTTATTATTTCTTAGGGCATTCTACATTCTGTGAATGATTCCTCTGAGAGTCTGAGGAGAAACTCCTTCACTGATGGAGACTGATTCATGTTGGCTCACCGCACACAATCGATGGAGGGGTTGATGGAGAACGGCTGCAGTAACACATCAGTCGAAGCATCAGTGATCCTATTGTGACTCAGACTGTAACACAAACACAACAAGTAGCTCTAATTGATTACTGCACATTAGCTGAAATATGCATAAAATCAATGAGGTAAACTCACAGTAATGATACAACTGATATGTTTGTCACTGTGATAAAGCAAAACAAGACAATCCATTGTGTAAATGTCAGGATGACAGTCATAAAGACTCTGCAACACTTTAGAAAAAAACGATAAAAACTATGTAAACTTTGCTTTTATATAAACCACATTCTTAATTATGATATTAAAGAAAAATATCTAATTGTTATCAAACCTCTTTAACCTGATTTTACTATCTTACACTACTGACTAATATGATCACAGTATTGATGCTTTCGAGCCAATATTTTTTATCTAATGATTATCAGAGGACTGTTAAAGAATTCCTCCCTAACGATGATGAGGAGTGCTTCACCAGATCTCAAACT